TTCTAGGGCATTTATTATCCTTAAGCTTTCTCCTTTGATTTCATTGAGCTGTTTCTTTGTGTCTTCTTAAAACTCCTTGACTTCTTTGATGAAGTCTATGACTAGTCCTTTAAATTCTGTGTTCTAGAGTTCATCTAGATAATTCTCGTTGACAAGGATCTCTAGAGTATTGGTAGGTTTGGGAGAGAAGATAATGGCTTAATCTTTCCTATTGTTATCTGTGGGACAATATTTGAGCATGTGGGCTTCCTTTGTTAGCTCCTTTACTAGTTAGCCTATGGATAAAGCAGATTAGAGAAGAGGAGAAGATGATGGGCCACATTGTGTCTAGAGGTTAGAAATGGCTTGGGTGAAATGAAGCCAGGTGAACAGAGGGAACTGGGGTGGTGTACAGGTTGTGCTTCCTGTTCCAACCTTGGAATATGGAACTAGACCTACCTAGTTGGAAAGATTGGATGTGACAGGGGAGAATCCTGTGGTTTGAGGTATGGAAGATACTGGCCCAAGCCTCACTCTTTTGTAGTAAACATAGGGAAAGCTAGACTATGCTAGTATACTGATTGTGAAACCCAGACCTAGTCTGCAGGGTTGGAGAAAAGCTGTGAATAGGAAGTCAGGGATACTTATCAGGCTAGACCCTGGAGAAGGATTGGGAAGTCTGGATACTTAGTGGGAGTGATGCAGGTGGCCTAGTATGAACTTGTAGATGGTCTCTGTTATGGCAGGTGCTGGCAGCCTAGATGTTGGCTTTGGCACTTGCAGGACTGGTCAAACTCTAAACAATAGTTTAAATATTATTTTGTTACATATGGATAAGTACAAAAATTTAAAGGGACAAAGAAAAATAAAATAGGAGGCAGATTATAGTTACATGAAGAAATAATCATATCATGTATCTGAAAAGACTGGCTTATTCTGTAGCCTGGGTGATCACTCATATTTCCCCTAAGATGCACCTCTCATGTAGTACCCAGTATTTTCCTGAAGGAAAAGTCAAAATCTGAAGACCAATGTACATGAACTTAAACTTTGTTGGTATCTTATTATAAAACAGTAAGCATTTTCTTTCTTCTTATTTGGGTAGAAAAGATCACAAGATCAGGTAGAGAGAAGAGGAAGGGCTCTGTCTAGGTATGTACTTTGGGAACTTTGTATATTATTTGTCTTTTCTAATTTTTCTAAACCCAATGCTAGGATAGATACTCATTCCTGCTCTTTTCCCCTTCTTCTCTACTCTTATGCTCCTTCAGTCTTTTCATTATTCTTTAAACCATTGAGCTACAGAAGCATGAAGGTAGAAAGAGATCTATGTGTTACTTCTTGTTTCCAAATATCTGAGACATCTTTTTTAACATGTTCCATTCATGCAGTCTCATTTAAAAGCTAAAATAATTGGCCTAGAATACAAAAATAGAGAACTTGAAAATCCATTACAGGGATCCCAACTCAGAGTCGTAGGGAAAAGTAGTGATAGTTCCTATGGAAAACTGGCGTAGTGGATAAGAAGATTAGGCATGACCACTATATGAACTCTAGGATTCTTTCAGGATAAAAGGAAGGTTTGCTGACTTCCAAGTGTCTCAAAAGATGAATCCTTTCCCAAGAGAGTATGGAGCCTGAGCAGGGAACCCTTTCCTCAAGCTGATCTCTCCTCTATAACCCTGGAGACCTGTTATTCACAGTTGGCTTTAATTGCTTACCTTTGGTGTGAGCTGTGCACTCGACTCTTTTCTAACATGCAACATAGAAAATCCACAAGCACTTAGGAGCATTTTGCTCCACAGCTGGCTCATTGCTGAAGAAGATGGAGTCCAATCGGTCACTTCAGGACACCTGGGAGTTTCACAAAGAAGAGGGAGTTGGATCACAAGAAAGAAAATCTTTCCAAAAACTCTAGGTGAGTTCCTTACAGATTCTGTAACAAGGTTTGTCAAGGGGCTCAGATCCAGATACAATTTTATAAATTTACAAATAGCTTTATGTAATCATCCTTCAATGCTAGGTTTCACTATGTAATTGGATTTGTGCAGTTTTTAACACAGTAATCAAATCTGTAGAAGGTTTATCTGAATATTTAGGCTGTGTAAATATACATTAGCATATGGCAAATGGGGACCAAATGGGTGGTTTGTAAAAGCCTTTCCTCATTCAGCTGATGTTAAAGTCTGAGAACACAGACTCAGAATAAGAGCTGTGGATTGATTTTGAGGCACTTAACCTATCTGATTTCTTTCATTAAAAAAGATAAATTTTTAAAATCTATTGTTCCCTTCAGAGCAAATCTAGTATATTTTGATAAACATACTAGATTTGAAGTCAGAAAGCATCTCCTGTTTTGCTCCTTTTGTTTAACATTGCTTTCACATGGTAGGGTAGATATAGTCAGCAGTAATTTAATGAGAATTTCAAAAGGCAGAAAGAAATTATTTTTTAATATTTTCATGATACAAAAATGATAAATACTTGAAAAAATAAATATGTTTAGCCTTATTTCAGCATTGTAAAATGCAAAATGTACAGAAGCATTACATGGTCATGTAATTACTTTTTGTTTCAATTACAAATATTTTTTAGTTCTATGCCCAAATTAGGATGATAATTCAGTTGTAAAGTGATTGCCATACGAGCCTAAGGATCTGAGTTTGGATCATCAGCATTCATGTAATAAATCAAGTATTGTGACATGCACCTGTAATCCCGGTATTGGAGAGGCAGAGATAGGTGGATACCTACAGCTCTCTGTTCAGCCAGCCTAGCAAAATTGAAGAAGTCCAGGCTCAAGAAGAGACCCTCTCTCAAAAATTAAAATAGAGAGTAAATAAGCTAGGCACCCAACATTTATCTGTGATTTCTACATGCATTTACACACAGATGTACATGTACACACACATTTGCATGGTCAACATTGAGGACTTTGTTTTTTAGACAAGATCTCACTATTTTGTATAGGTTGGTCTTGAAAATGTGAACTGAAGCAATTATTTACCTTATCCTCCTGGGTGGTGTGGCTACTGGGATACCCCACCATATCTGGCTATGAGGAACTTCTGAATGTGTGACTAGGATTAGCAAAATGAAAACAAGAGTGAGGAAGAGAAATAAATGAAAAGAGGAACCAAAGTAGTGCTTCATCCTTTGAGATTAGTCCCATCTTCATTGTTCCTAATAAATAAAGTTCTTCATATTTGTATCTGACAATGGTTGGTTTAATCATGATTGCTTTTTCAATGTCTTCTAAGTAAATATTATGAAGAGCTATCAGTCAGATATCTTGAAAGAAAAGAGGATATCAGGGATTTTTTTATGTTTTCGTTCAATGTTTTTCCCTTTTCATTTGCTAAGTAAGCTCAAATGGAGGTTGAGTGAGGAAAGTATATTATACCAAAAAAAAATGGTGAGAAAACCTAGGGGGAAGGGAGCCAAGAAAAACTATCTCAGGACAAGTTTTATCTGAAACAAAAGAAGAAATATTAGGCCTTTTTCATTAACAAGAGGCAATTGAAAACAAAGCTTTAGTTAGAAATAGCTATACCTAGTGGGTGGAGAAAACAATAGAGAAATTTAACAATACCTCTGAGATGAGCAATATCATGTCTGGCTTAACCCAGGTGTGGTTTGCTGTGGCCCTTTTCTCTATCATCATCCATGGGTGCATATTTAGCAGGTGCTGCTATGGAAAGCTGAGTTCCAGATTTTCAGTTACTAGAGCCATTTTAAAAGATAATGTGCTACCTTATAGTTTCATCTTTTCCAAAGAGGATAAATTACCCTCCCTTTCTTTTTTTTTAATTTTTTTATTGGATGTTTTATTTACATTTCATATGTTGTCCCCTTACCCCATCCCCACCCACCCAGGAACCCCCTATCCCCTCACCCCTCCTCCTTCTTCTCTGTGGATGTAACCCCTACCTACCCCCCCACTCCCACCTCCCCACCCTCAAAATTCCCACCCCCTGGGGCGTCCAGCCTTCATGAGATCAAGGATCTCTTCTTCCACCTATGCCCAGCAGGGCCCTCCACTCTTACATATTCAGCTGAAGCCCTGGATCCCTCCCTAAGTGCTCCCATGCTGGTGGTTTAGACCCTAGGAGCTGTACCCTCCCTTTCTTGAAGAATGCTTTTATGTTCCCTTCCTGAGAGTTTATGTAAAATTTACTAGTTTTGTGTGTGTGTGTGTGTGTGTGTGTGTGTGTTATACATATGTTTTTTGTGGCTATGTGCATGGAGGCCAAATGTTAGGTATCTTTCTTGATAGCCATCCACTTTGGTGTTTGTTTGTTTGTTTGTTTGTTCTATTGTTTTGTAATTTGTTTTTGAGACAGGTTCTCTCACTAAATATTGTCATGAATGGCTAGACTGGATAACCAGTTGAAATATCTCCCTGTCTGCACTGGCCTCCATCCACACAGCTCTGAGGTTACAGACATATTCTACCAGACCCTGACTTCTACATGGGTACTGTTACCTGCATGAAGACTCGAGTCCTCATGCTTAGTAACATGAACCAATAGAAGCATCTTTTCAGCCCTTGTTCTCTTGTGACTGATAGCACTTTCAATGACCTTCTCATTGCTTGTTCACTTGCACATCAGTGTGTCTGAGATAAGTTCTGTCGATAAAAAGATATTTGAAGAGATATTCTTAACTCCCAGGAGTCTTTCAAGAGTCTACCTTTATTCCTGCACTAGCTGTTAATATCTCACATAACTGTATCCCTTCTTCATGCTACACAGGGTCTCTTGATTATAATTGTGCCTCTCCAGAGATGTTTTATATTTTACCCGGCTATAGGATTTTTTATAGGAGGGAGGCTTTGACTTATCAACTCATGAAGAACATTGTTTTCCATGCTACTGTTCTTAAATAAGAAAAGGCAGAGATTGATATATTTTACTGAGAAACAGTGATGCACCATACCCAAGATTCTGGTGTGGAGTGGGCAAAGGTGCAGTGTTGAGAGAGGAAAAATAACATAATCTTCTCTCACCTTTCCTCAGCAGATGATGCCCAGCAGATCTGTGTTGGGAGATGGAAACCACACGTCTGTGACCATGTTTGTCCTCCTGGGGCTCGTGGATCAAGCTGAACTGCAGCTTATCCTTTTTCCTGTCTTCCTAGGGACCTACCTCATTACTCTGATTTGGAACCTGGGCCTTATCATTCTCATCAGAATGGACTCTCATCTGCAAACACCCATGTACTTTTTTCTCAGTTTCTTGTCATTTATAGATATATGCTACTCTTCTTCCATTAGCCCAAGGATGCTTTCAGACTTCTTAAAAGCAGAGAAAACAATTTCCTTCATTGCTTGTGCCACTCAATATTTTGTTTTGGCCTGGATGGGTATGTCTGAGTGCTGCTTGCTGGCTGCCATGGCCTATGACAGGTATGTGGCTATTGGTAGCCCTCTGCAGTACTCAGCCATCATGGCTCCCAGTCTTTGCTGGAGAATGGTTGCTGGTGTCTATGGGAGTGGATTCTTTAGTAGCTTTGTTCAAACAGTTGCTTGTTTTAATCTCTACTATTGTGGGCCAAATGTCATTCATCATTTCTTCTGTGACATGCCTCAGATCATTCCCTTGTCTTGCTCTGATCCCTTCATCAGCCAGCTGGTTCTTTTCCTGGCATCTGTCTTTGTTGGGTTTGGCTCTTTCCTTGTTATCCTCTTATCCTATGTATTCATTGCAGTTTCCATCCTGAAAGTGGCCTCATTCAAAGGCTGTGTCAAGGCCTTCAAGACATGTGGCTCCCACCTGGCAACAGTGACTCTCTTCTATGGCACAGTCCTTTCTGTGTACATGCACCACAGCTCTCAGCACTCCACCAAGCAAGACAAGGTCCTGTCAGTGGTCTATACCATCCTCATCCCCATGGTAAACCCTCTGATCTACAGTCTGAGGAACACAGAGATCAAGGGGGCCCTCAAGAGAGTGATGAAGAAGGCAGCACATTTACCTCAGAAAGCATAGCATCTGGGCAGGTGCCATACTTAAGAGGAAGGCAGAAGTAAAAACAATGAGGATACCTTCTGTAGACCTTTCATATTAACTGATGTAGTAATAACGTTGTTGAGCAGACAGATATAGCAATCACCTGGCTTACTTGACACCTGGGGTTACTGTGTTAGCTGTTTCCAGGTGGTCTAAGACAATGATGTCTAAACTGAATACAGTTTTAAAAGTTTGCTTCTCAGAGTCTTCTGAGTATGACGAGACCCTTGCACTCATGAGCTTAGCACCTATGGTTGCCTACACAAGATCTACATAATATCAAACCAATCAACATTTTAGCATGGGTAGGAGAGAGGCACATGAGTCCTCACCCCTAAGATGAGAAGCTATTTGACAGCTGATGACTGTTATGGGATGGAGCATTATTATTAAGGGGATGGTCTCTCACAGGTGGATGACCACATACCTATGCATGCATGGGCAGTGCTAATTGGACTCAGTGACTTATTTTTTTAAATGGAAGGCATGAAATTAAAAAAAGGAATGTGATGATGATGTGAAAATTTCAAAGGACATGGGAGGTGGATATGAGCAAAACACACTGTATGTATATATGAAATTCTCAAAAAAGTAAAAGAAGAAAGAAAAAGACAATAGTATTTGTGGCTAAATCCCAGATAAATAAGACCTTAATATCATGGTGTTTTTTCTAATAACATGTGTTTTGAGAGCTAATGCACATAGAGAGATGGCAAGAACTAGGAGTGGACACAGCTTTTCATTTCTTCAGATTGTAGTGATTTTAGTTAAGTGATTTTTTCATTGTAGTAAAACATAAAGCTATGTGATGCATAAACAAATGTATGGAACTGAAATGAGTTAAAATAAATATTTTATAATTTTAGGCCCAAGCAAAAATACAGAATGAGAATAAATGAATAGTAAAGATCAAAGAAGAGGAAGAGAGAAAAAAGGAAGAAAGAGGTAGTAATAGAGGAAGAGAGGAAGAGGAAAAAAGGAGTAGAGGAGAAGAGAGCAAGGGGTGGAATAGGAGAGAAAGGGAACAGAAGGGTGAAGAGAGAAGGATACAATTAGACAATAAGAGGAAAAAGGAGAAGAGAAGAGAGGAGACATAGTGGGGACATACAACCATTGTTGGGTTACTTCTCAAATAAATATCTTTTCCCTCCTATTTGATGAAGCTTTGTTGAGGAATCAAGATCAAGAGTTCAAGGTCCCCCTCACCTATTTAGTGAGTTTTAGGTCAGCCTAGATACATGATGCAATAAATAAGTAGATGATAGATAGATAGATAGATAGATAGATAGATAGATAGATAGATAGATAGATAATGGGTAGATAAGACATGATTGTTGCATGTAATTTTAAAATTTCACTAGCTCTTTCTCCAGAGTTCTGCCCAAAATCGTGGCTGGCTCTACCAAGCCACCAACTAGTCCCCCTCCACTCCCTGGCTGTGCCCTTTCTCCTGCCCACCTTAGTCACCATGGATGGAAAACAATAGACAATTTTATTATTTTAAAACTAGACAGATGATCTGTGCCTGGAGCTGACCCTGTGCCACAGCTCTCTGTACCCAAATACCACTGGGAGAGAGCTGGTCTCACAGGAGCACAGGTAAGACCACCACTTCTGCTCAAATACTTGGCCTAAGAGGGACCCTCTCAGAGCCATCATGACACAGGAACCAGGGAACAGCCAGGGACAGGATCCTTCCAGTTTCTGTATGCACCCCAGGGCTGACCCTGTGCTACAGCTCTCCATACACAAATTCATCCCAAGAAAATTGGTCTCCCAGGAGTGCTGACACACAGGCTTACAGGAGGGACAAGCCACAGTCAGAGACAGCAAGACCAGCTAACACCAGAGATATCCAGATGGTGAGAGGCAAGGGCAAAAACATAAGAAACAGAAACCAAGGCTACTTGCCATCATCAGAACCCAGTTCTCCCACCACAGCAAGCCCTGGATACCCCAACACACTGGAATATCAAGATTCAGATTTAAAATCACATCTCATAATGATAATAGTGGACTTTAAGAAGGAAATAAAAACTCCCTTAAAGAAATACAGAAGAACATAGGTAAACAGGTAGAAGCCCTGAAAGAGGAAACACAAAAATCCCTTTAAAAATTATAGGAAAACACAACCAAGGTGAAAGAATTGAACAAAACCATACAGGATCTAAAAATGGAAGTAGAAGCAATAAAAAAAATCACAAAGGAAGACTACCCTGGAGATCAACATATAGGTCAAGTAACATATAAAGGCAGACCTATCAGAATTACACCAGACTTCTCACCAGAGACTATAAAAGCGAGAAGATCCTGGACAGATGTCGCCATACAGACCCTAAGAAAACACAAATGCCAGCCTAGGCTACTATACCCAGCAAAATTCTCAATTGTCATAGATGGAGAAACCAAGATATTCCATGACAAAACCAAATTTACACAATATCTCACCACAAATCCAGCCCTACAAGACATAATAAATGGAAAACTCCAACACAAGGAGGGAAACTACACCCTAGAAAAGGCAAGAAAGTAATCTTCTTTCTACAAACCCAAAAGAATATAGCCACTCAAACAGAATTCCACCTCTAACAACAAAAATAACCGGAAGCAACAATCACTATTCCTTAATATTTCTTAACATCAATGGACTCGGTTCCCCAATAAAAAGACATAGACTGATGACTGGATACGTAAATAGGACAGCATTTTCCTGCATACAGGAAATGCACATCAGTGACAAAGACAGACACAACCTCAGAGTAAAGGGCTGGAAAACAATTTTCCAAGCAAATGGTCCCAAGAAACAAGCTGGAGTAGCCATTCTAATATCAAATAAAATCTACTTTCAACCAAAAGTTATCAAAAAAGATAAGGAAGGACACTTCATACTCATCAAAGGAAAAATCTACCAAGATGAACTCTCAATTCTGAACATCTATGCTCCAAATGCACCCACATTCATAAAAGAAACTTTACTAAAGCTCCAAGCACACATTGCACCTCATACAATAACAGTGGGAGACTTCAACACCCCACTCTCATTAATGGACAGATCATGGAAACTCCTGGACATATACCCAGAAGATGCTCCAACATGTAATAAGAACACATGCTTCACTATGCTCATAACAGCCATATTTATAATAGCCAGAAGCTGGAAACAGCCCAGATCTCCCTCAACAGAGGAATGGATACAGAAAATGTTGTACAATTACACAATGGACTACTACTCAGCTATTAAAAAACAATGAATTCATGAAATTTGCAGGCAAATGGATGGATCTAGAAAATATCATTCTGAGTGAGGTAACAGTCACAAAAGAACACACATGGTATATACTCACTGATAACTGGATAGTAGGCAAAGAGCATGGAATACTCAAAATACAACTCATAGACCACATGAAGCTCAACAGGAAGGAAGACCAAAGAGTGGATGTTTCAGTCCTACTTAGAAATGGGAACAAAATAGTTAAGGAAAGTAGAGGGTGGGAGGGACTTGGGAGGAAGGGAGGGGGGGAAAGAGAGGCAGAATCAGCTATGGGAAGAAATGGAGGAGATTTACAGGGAGTCAGATTGAACAGAGGTTTGTAGCAATGAGGGATGGGGAACTGGGAGTAGCAACCAGAAAGTCCCAGATGTCAGGAAAGCAAGATCCTCCCAGGACCCCACGAAATGACATTAGCTGAAATACCCTACAAAGGGGAGGGAGAACCTGTGGAGACCATATCCAGAGATTAGACATGGCCCCCCAGTTGATGAGCCACCCACCCATCTCCAAAATTATAATCTAGAATTGCTCCTGTCTAAAGGAAATACAGGGACAAAGAGTGGAGCAGAGACTGAATGAAAGACCATCCAGAGACTGCACCACCTGGAGATTCATCCCACATGCAGACAGACACCAAACCCAGACATTATTACTGATGCCAAGAAGTGTTGGCTGACAGGAACCTGATACAGCTGTCTCCTGAGAGACTCTGCCAGATCCTGACCAATACAGATGCCAATGCTCGCAACCAACCATCGGACTGAGCACAGGGACCCCAATGGGGGAGTCAGGGGGAAGGACTGGAGGAGCTGAAAGAGCCTTATCTGGCATCAATGGGAGAAGAGGCCCTTGGTCCTGTGAAGGCTTGATGCCCCAATGTAGAGGAATGCTAGGGCGGTGAGGCAGGTGGGTAGGTGGGGGAGCATCCTCATAGAAGCAGGGTAAGGAAGGGGTGATGGGATAGGGAGTTTGCAGAGGGGAAACCAGAAAAGGGGATAACATTTGAAATGTAAATAAAGAAAATATCCAATTTTTTAAAAAATAAGGCAAATCAGTACCTTAGCCTTCTGTCAATGACATTTACTCACCCTAGAAATTCCTATCTCCTTTGCCTAAAACTATATAACCCTCAATTCACCCCCCAAATAAAGTTGATCTATCACTCTGAAAAAAAAACTAGCCAGATAACTCAGTGACTGGGCAAAGAATATCCTGTCCCATCCTCCTTGTCTTCCACTCACGGCGGAGGCTACAAACTATATGTACCCAGAGACCTACATGTCTGCCACTTCCTCTGAACCACCTCCTGTTCTGACTCCTCCCTCTCACCCCCTGTTCTTCCTCCCGGGACCTAGAGTCCCACCTTTTTCCTTTTGCTCAGCACTTGGCGTCCACCATCTTTATTGACACAATCAACCAATTAAGGAAACAACACCTCAACCTACACATGATCATATTTATATTTGAAATCCTTTAAAAGGGAGAAAAAGATCAAATACAGAGAGACTTTTTTAAAAGTGGATATGGATGTGGGGTATCCACAGGAATGATAACAATTAAAGATTGAATTCAAAATAGAAAATAAGATTAAGCAAATCCTAAGATCTAATATGCAGCATGGAGATATGATTATAAGTATTAAGGGTGCATTAAGGGTGCAAGTTCTGAAGAGTAATTTTTTTCATCCTGGTGGGAATGAACAATCAATCCTGCAAAACAGATGGGAGATCATTTCCCATATACATATGAGAAAAACAAGACACCAAGGAACACAATGGAAC